TAGCTCATGATCTGAACCACAGTCAGCTCCAGGTCTTTTTTTTTTTAACTGACTGTATAGAGCTTCTCCATCTTTGACTGCAAATGATATAGTCAATCTGATTTCGGTGTTGCCCATCTGGTGATGTCCATGTGTAGAGTTGCCTCTTAGGTTGTTGGAAGAGGGTGTTTGCTATGACCAGAGTGTTCTCTTGAAAAAACTCTGTCAGCCTTTGCCCGGCTTCATTTTGTTCCCCAAGGCCAAACTTGTTCATTATTCCGGTTACCTTTTGACTTCCTACTTTAGCATTCCAGTCCCCTGTGATGAGGAGGACATATTTTTTTGGTGTTAGTTCTAGGAGGTGTTGTAGGTCTTCATAGAACTGGTCCACTTCACTTTCTTCTGCATCAGTGGTTGGGGCATAGATTTGGATTACTGTAATGTTGAATGGTTTGCCTTGGATTTGGACCGAGATCACTTTATCGTTTTTGAGATTGTATCCCATTATTGCCTTTCTCACTCTCTTGTTGAGTATAAAGGCCACACCATTTTTTCTTCGGGATTCTTGGCCACAGTAGTCTTCTGAGTAAAATTCACCCATTCCTGTCCACTTTAGTTCACTGATTCCCAAGATGCCGATGTTCAGTCTTGTCATCTCATTTTTGACCACGTCCATTTACCTTGATTCATAGATCTTACATTCCAGGTTCCTATGCAGTATTGTTCTTTGCAGCATCGGACTTTCCTTTCACCGTCAGACACATCCACAGCTGAGCGTTCTTTCAGCTTTGGCCCAGCCGCTTCACTCTTCCTGGGATTACTTGTACTTTCCCTCTGCTCTTCCCCAGTAGCATATTGGACACCTTCTGACCTGAGGGGCTCCTCTTCCAGCGTTATATCTTTTATCCTTTGGTTACTGTCCATGGGGTTTCCTTGGCAAAAATACTCGAGTGGGTTGCCATTTCCTTCTCCAGGGGATCATGCTTTGGCTGAGTACTCTGCTGTGGCTTGTCCATCCTGGGTGGCCTTCCACGGCATAGCCCACAGCCTCATTGAACCACGCAAGCCCCCTCGCCACGTCAAGGCAGTGATCCGTGAGGGAGTTCGACTGATTTAGTTTTTATTTATTGGCAGTCTAGTAGTAGTTTTTAAATTGTGATTTTATGACTTTTATAATTGTTATAATTGTTTTATTTTTATTTTTTATTGTGCTTTTTATAGTATTTATAATATTTTTATGTCTATTGTAAGTTGCCTTGAGGTCTGCAAGGGAGACAGGAGGTTAATCAGTGTCTTAAATAAATAAATACCAGGTTTGGATTTCTTGACACCCAAGAGGCCAAACACTATGCACAGGCCTTATATTGTGGCCTGCCAGGTGCTCAGCAATCCCACTGCTTTTTGTACTCCCTGGCATGTGACAAAAATGAGAAACTTTAGCAAGTTCTCAGTGGGCTCAGTGTAGCTCAGCAGATCTGAAGCTGTGGCGTTTCTGTCATACATGGACCTCTTCTATAAAAAGGACATTTTAGTTCGGAGAGATGGTTTAAACTATTTTTCCATCCTTTGCAGACTATGATTGGTAAAACAAGTAATTATAATATTGTGAGTTCCTTCCTCCGTGTATATATGCAAAAAAAATAAACAACTATTCCTTTCCTACAGATTGCATACACAGAGTGGCAATTCTACCAGAAGGGTGCAAATATCTCAGTTAATAGTAGGATCATTGCATTTTCCTTTCGTTGAAGTCCAATCAAATCAGGATGATAAATTATAACTTTTCATTTTAACTACTGCCGTTTTAACTAACTTTTCATCCTAATTGATGCTAGCAGAAGGAATGAGAATCTTTGCCATGTATATACCGCCATTCAGAATGGGTGGGTGCACTGGAAGAGGGTCAGTCATACAAAACAGAGTTGATGGAAAAGGAAGCTTTCACCCCCTCCCCACAGCAGCTCTCATAATTTGGTGGTGGAAAGTGCCGTCAAATCTCAGCCAATTTATGGTGACCTTGTATAACTAAACATAAACATTTTGCGTTGCAAAACAAGCCCATTTTGTTAGAGCCAGAATTATACTTCATCTTATGTGAGAATGACTCTTACAGCTGCAGCACTTTGAAGGTCTGGTTATGTTTCCTCTGGATATTGTTCTGCTTTACACCATTTATTATGAGAACAGGTTGTGAATTATTAGTTTTGAAAAGTGCTTACCCTTTATTCTTGTGTAAGTACTGTTCACTGACCTTTTGAATTTGAGTGTGCAAGTATTAGGAATGCTTAACAGAAAATCTTACTTAAGGTCAGAAGGCTGTTGTCCATTTTGGCCTTTTTGTTGTGTGAGTTAGAAGAACAATGATTAAAGCATTTCCTTGTAAGTTCATGTTCCAGCTGTCCTCTATCCATTCACCAATATGCTATTTTTCCAGATGTTATCCAGATCAGTCCCCATTGTGTGCATCCCCTGCACATGTTGGGTACGTGGTTTTAACTCCTGGGAAATAAAGAACGGAAGGGAGAGAGAGATACGTAGCCAGAGAATAACTTTATTGCCCCGTGGTGGTACTGAATAAAGAAGGAATAGAAATAGTAGAAGATAACAAGGAAATGCAACAATACAGCAGTAATTTATAAGTGGCAATCCAATAAAAACATTCACATCTTTATTACACTAAGCCAAATACCAACTTAAAGTTACTTGTATCCAAACTGTGTCTTTCCCGTGTGGCCAGTCCAGAGAAAACCAGCGTAAAGAGAGAAGGGGTTGCCCCAAAAGGGGCTAAAAGATATGGTGAGATAAACAAAGATGGATTTTTGAATGAAAAAGGAAGGAGTCCCTAGCTAAGTGAGGTTGTAGTGGAGAAGGATGGTTGGCTCTAAGGGTAACCAATGAGATCAGAGAAGGAAGAAGGTAAGCGAAGGGGAACAGATAGGAAGATGTGAAGGATGAATTTCAGGAAGGGAAGCAGAATGGGGGAAGGAGAAAAGCATATTCCACCTGCTTTGAGGGAGGGTCCAGTGATTTCAGTGTCTTATGATCATGGACGAAGGAGTGTGTTAATCCCGTGACTTCCGCATTAGAGGAAAAGATGGGATAAGAACTAAAAACGGAGGGCTTGCTGTGCCCTTCTTATGCACCTGGATTTACCTGGGTTTCAATGGGGAGTCCTGCTGTTGGCAAAAATTAGTGGAGAATTAGGAACTGCAATGACATTGGGCCTAAAGTGCAGGCTCTGGCTGCCTGTTGGTAAAATTTGGGTTGCTGCTTTCAGATCCCTGTTTGTAGAAAGATGAAAAATGTGCAGCTATCATAGGGAAGGAGGACATTGGATAGAAGGTGAGGCAGTACGAGACATCAAGATAATCTAGGCGGAATAATTGGATTACTTGAATGGCAGACTTGCTTAATGACTGTTAACAAAAGAATATGAGGTGGTTAGCTTTACAGAGAAATATGCATTATAAGGGAGATGCTGAAAGCTTTGGTTATGATCCTGCAAACCTGGAGCTGGAGGACTGCTGGAAGGTCAGGAAAAGGAACCTTGGGAAACATTCACCCAGAGCCAGGCCACTTTCTCTTGAGAGCATCTTCGGGGAATTCCTGTCTTAATTGAAAGACCCTGCTTTAATAGCAAACAGACAAATATATGAACATAGGAAAGAAGAAACTTTATGTAGCCTTTGTTGATCTGAAGGGTGCCTTCGACTCATAGAAATAAACTATGGAGCAAACTAGCTGACCAAAAGATAGATCCCTGTTTGTTAATCTTGCTAGAGAAATTACACACTGATACAACTTGTCAGGTAAAATATTCTTCAAAAGGCCACGTAACTAGGAAAATACCTGTTTTTAAAGGAGTTAAACAAGGGTGTGTGTTGGCTCCATATCTTTTAAATCTCTTAACAATTTACCTCAGGTTTAAAAATCTATAAATGGGCATCCACACAAGCTAAATGAATTCCCAGTTCCACTTTTATTGTATGCTGACGATACAACTATTCTTTCCCACACAAGAGTGGGATTACAGAGAGATTTGAAAGCATTGGATAACTATTGCCATTTAAATTCACTTTCTATAAACTATTCTAAATCGAAAGTAGCAGTTTCCTCTAAAAGTTGGCACCCACAAAAATGGTATATTGGTAACCAAGAAATTGAACAATCCAAGTGTTATAAATATCTAGGCTTAATGTTCAGTTACAATCTCAAATGGATAATTCATCGTAACTGAATTTATCTTCCTCTTAAATTAAACATTTTTACTACCATAAAGGCAATCAGTATTTCCCTGCAGCAATCAAAGTTTTTCAGGCTAAAACTCTATCTCAAATACTCTATGACATTCCTGTGTAGATTAATGCCCTGAATACAAAATACAAAATATTCAGGTCATATTCTTGCGTCAACTTCTTGGAGTGCCTAAATGTGTACCATATACTATGATTTGTGTGGAAACAGGTTTGCACCTAATAGAAACCAAAGCATGGATCCTACCTTTAAATTTTTCCTTCGAATTTATTATAGGGCAGAATCAGATAGTTTGCTTAGCTATCTTAAAAAGTATACTTATAATGCTGTGTAGTTGGGCAGGATTATAGGTAAATTTAAATACATAGGAATTGCAACAGAAGACCTTTTCCTATCTGATGAATCCTATAATTTTAGACTAATTAAACAGAGGCTCCTTGATTTAGAACTTACTAAGTTATGTCCTGTTCAATATTATATATGCTCACCTGTGGTGCTTGGTCTTGCTCATCCCATTGGGAAAATGGCCAACTATTTATGTGATCTTGAAAGCCCCCAACAAAGGAGAGCATTTATGTTGGCTAGGATGAATTCCTTTCCTTCAAATGTTGTTTATGGAAGATTCTTCCAAATTCCATGTAGTGAGAGAGTCTGTCCTTGTGGGGCAAACATTCCAGATTCCATCCAACATATACTGCTGGAGTGCCAGCTATATTCTAATCCGCTGAAGGAACTGTATGTTAATCTCTCCATCCCTCCCTGTAATCTGGTAAATAGGATTGACTATCGCCGCTTATTAAAATATAATGAAATAGAAATCACAAGGGCTGTTAGTAAATTCCTGAAGAAATCTATTGAAACTTATGAGGGGCATGTTTCACCATGAGTTATAATTACATACACACACACACACACCGATATAGATATAGATATATTAGCCTATTGTTCTTAATCTTGAACAGTATATTTTTCTTGTTCTTATTTTTGTACTATGTTTGAATATGCCAATAAAAGGTATGACTGACTGACTGACTGAGCAAGCAGATTTAGATTTCCCTTGCAGTTCTGGCATCTGAGATAAGTGGGGCCACAAGGACATCCTGGAGGCAACAGTGTTTGGAAGAGAGATGATGATGGGATGAGGCAATAAGATAATACATCTTTGTATGGATCCTCATGTTAGAAGATTCTAATGCATGTCTTTTTTAGCATACTTCCATGATGGAATGGTTCAATATGGCTCTTGACAATAAGAAAGGACTTGGAAGAACATATTTCAAATTTCATTTTGTTTCAGATTTATGTGTGGAACTTTCAAAACATTTATGTTATGGAGTTTATTCTTTTCCTCCGCTGTTTAGGCAGTGAGCAGGCAGATTTGTTTGGAACAGCAGCTTCAGATGATGAGGGAAACGGAACGCAAGCTGCAAGACTTACAAGAAAGCTTAAAGGATCTGGATAGGCAGCTAACTTCATATTTGACTGACAGAATAGATGCCTTCCAAATACCTCAGGAGGCACAGGTATTTTCGGGATTTTTCTTGTTGTTGACACAGGATTTTGAGGTGTAGAATGATAGATTGCCTCTCAGAGGGGGGCCTATATGGTGTAATTTAGCTGTGTGTGTGTGTAGGAGTATGCAGTGGAATATCTTTGTAATGGCCTTAAAGAAGCAGGCTATCATCAAAGCCAGCATGACTGATATAGACATTGCATTCATAAGAAACTTCTACAGTATGATTTATTGTTAGGCTGATATCTGCCACGTTCTTTTTTCCTCTCTTCAAATTACTTGGCAGAAAATCCAAGCTGAGATTGCTGCTCATGAATCCATCTTGGAAGAAGTAAAAAGGAATGTGCGATCATTGATGCCAGCCTCCCCTGAAAGTAGATCTCTTCGTGGAGGGTCTCTTTTGGATGCGTTGCAGGTAAATATCAGAAATCTTTGCCATTGTCAATTTTTCTTTGTGGTGGAATACATTGAATAGAATAAAACAAAAAAATTAAAACAGAGTTTGTTTGCATCCCCTTGAATTCATTTATCAAATGAAAATTGATCATGATTGTAAGACATTCCTTGCAACAAAAAAGGAGATGTGTGGCCTAGAGTAGTAGTTTTAGAAAAACCACATTTTGCAGACATTATTATCACTACTACTCTTATTGACATGTTTTTATGGGGCAGACTCATCAATTAATTAGTTTAGAAATTCATCAAAATGCATGTTAGTGGTAATGCAAAATGCAATTCTTTAAAATTACCTTAGATATATTTTGTTAGAATTACAAACTTGTTTTTGACTTTTCATATAAACAGAGGAAACTCCGGGAAGTGTCCACAAAGTATCAACTTTTTCAGAAACCAGCCAATTTTGAGCAACGTATGCTGGATTGTAAACGAGTTTTGGATAGTGTAAAAGCTGAGCTCCATGTCATGGATGTGAAGGACATTGACCCAGATATAATTCAGTCTCACTTTGATAAGTGCATGGTAAGATAATGCTATGATTGGATTTTCTTTACCTTTTCATATGTATTGTTTCATTTTGTTATGGAGATATTTGCTTCTGTATATCAGTTGAAATGAATGCTCCCACTGGCTGAACTGTAGCATCTCTGTTTACACCTTGATGCAGGTGAGATGTCACTACTAACCCTATTGGATCTCTCAGCTTCCTTTGACCACATAGCCTCCCTGGGTATGGCCTTGAGCTGGTTCTCCTCATTTCTCCAGGGTCAGTCCCAGAGGGTAATTGTGGGTAGAGAGAGGTTGTCACTGCTGGCCCTAACCTGTGGAGTTTCTCAGGGGTCGATCCTCTCCCCAATGTTATTTAACATCTATATGTGCCCTCTGGCAAAGATTGTCAGGAGGTTTGGAGTGGGATGTCATCAATATGCAGGTGGGGAAGCCTTCTACTGACTCTTGATGAGGTCTGACTTTCTATGGAAGACTCTGTCAGGAGTTTGGGTGTATGGCTTGATTCTTTGGTCTCCATAGACAAATGTGTCCTCGGTGTCAAAGATTGCGTTTTACCATCTATGCCTGGCCTACCAACTGTATCCCTATTCATTCATTCGTTCGTTCGTTCGTTCGTTCAATTTATATCCCGCCCTTCTGCCGAGGCAGGCTCAGGGCAGCTTACATAAAATTCTACAATGCCAAGACGACGGCCACACATCCCGGAAAATCTACAGCAACTAATTACATAAAATTCCACATATATACACAATTAAAATCAAACATAAAGTAATCCTACACAATTAATTTATCAGTTCTCGGAAAGTGCTGGAACAATGATCTCATAAAGTGCTTGAACAGTAGATCTCAAGTTAAAGTGCTACGTAGGTGACGACAACAGTCATGTTGGCATTTTCAAATCAGCTCCGCTTATTCAAATTCATTGTGTGGTGAGCACAGGCTGTAGGTGGTAAGGCCAGGGCACAGGGTCACTCCTCAGGTGTTTGAAGCAGCTCCATGATTGAAGACATAGTGAAAGAGCTCCGTTTTGCAGGCTCTGCAGAACTGTAAAAGGTCCCACAGGGCGCTGATCTCTTCGGGGAGCTCATTCCACCAGTATTGAGCTGCCACTGAAAAGGCTTTGGCTCTGGTTATAGCGGTGTGCTATTGGCAGTCAGTGCAGTGCTTTCAGCATGGGCTAGATGTGCTCCTGCATAGAGAGACCCATCAAAAGCCTGGCCACAGCATTTTGTACTAGCTGTAGCTTCCAGATTTTGGACAAGGGCAGCCCCATGTTGAGAGCATTACAGTAGTCTAGTCTCGAGGTGACCATCGTGTAGATCACTGTTGCCAAGTTGCCGTGTTTGAGGAAGGGAACCAACTGCCTAATCAGCAGAAGATGATAAAAGGCTGACTTGGCAGTGGCTGCTACCTGGGTCTCTATTGTTAAGGAGGCATCCAAGAGCGCTCCCAAACTCCTGATGTCCGGTGCTAGCACCAGCTGCACACCATTGAAGGTCAGGCATGGGATTCCTCCCCTCGAACTGCCACGGCTCAGGCACAGGAAGTCTGTCTTCATCGGATCCAGTTTCAATCGGCTCAGCCTAAGCCAGCCAGCCATGGCTTGTAACGCCTGGTCCAGATGTTCCAGTGCAGAGTCAGACTGGCTGCCCAACAGCAGATAGAGCTGGGTGTCATCCGCATACTGGTGAAATCTCAGCCCATGCCTCCGGGCAATCTGGGCAAGGAGGCGCATATAGATGTTAAATAGCATCGGGGAAAGCACCAACCATTGGAGCATGCCACAAACCAGTGGGTGCCTTCGGGATAGCTGTTCCCCTAATGTCATCCTTTGTCCTTGATCCTGAAGAAAGGCAAGCCCCTGGATTCCAGTGTCGGCAAGGCAGTGGATCAGTAGCTGATGGTCAACTGTGTTGAACGCTGCTGACAGGTCCAACAGCAACAGCACTGCCAATCCACCTCAATCCAGGTACTTCCGGAGGTCGTCTGTGAGGGCGACCAGTGTCATTACCATCCTGTGTCCTGGTCAAAAGCCGGACTGGAAGGGATCTAGAATGGAAGTGTCATTGGGAGGACCTTGCCACAATAATTTATGCAGTGGTCACCTCGAGACTTGACTGCTCTATGCAGAGCTACCTTTGAAGACACTTCAAGAATTGCAAGTTGTCCAGAGTACAGCTGCCAGATTGCTGACAGGAGTGTCCTGGTCAGCACACATAACACCTATCCTACGGCAGCTGCACTGGCTCCCAATTAGTTTCTGGTGCCAATTCAAAGTGTTGGTACTTACTTTTAAAGCTCTAAATGGCCTGGGGCCCTCACACCTTCAGGACTGCCTCTCCTGGCATGATCCTCCCTAACTTCTCCGACTTTCATCTTGGCATTTATTGAAAGTCCCTGGTCCATGAACTGTCTGTCCTCTTTCAACAAGGGTGAGGGCCTTCTTAGTAGTAGCCCTCGACCAGAAGAACTAGCAGCCTGGAGAGGTGTGTGTCTTGTGAGACTTCCTAAGTTCCACAGGGCATGAAGGGCTGATTTTCTTCGTGGTCTCTGTGCATCACACCTCTGGGATATAGTGCACCTGTGCCGACCTCGATCGGTTCCTCTTGAAAGTGAAAGGGATTTTCGCGCCAGCTCCCCAGTCACTTGCCAGCCCCACTGCGCATGACCAAGGGAGTGGCACGACAATCCCGCCAGTTCTCTCCTGACCGCCACGCTGGTAGGATCTTCTCTGCTTCGGTCGTTTTCTTCGAAGTTTCTTCATTTTCTTGTTTATTTTTTGTTAAGTGAAAGGACTTTGTTTCCATGGATTTATTTTCTTTTGAACTCTGTTGTGTGTTCTATGGCCAAGAGGTGGGATCTCTTTAAACGGTGCCTTAAGTGCGACAGCAAGATCGCCCCCCCCCCCAGACAGACACTCGCTTTGTCTTTTGTGCCTCGGGGAATTGCACTGAGTGGACTCTTGTAATTGTGCGAAGTTTTTGAAGGAGACAAGGAAGAACAGAGGTGCCAGATTCGCGTTGCACTTTTGGAGTTAGCACTTTCACTGATGTCGTCACAGGACACTTCAGGGCATGTGTCAATGTTGACTGCTGCCTCGGCATCGATGGCTGCACTGTCCCTGATATCAACTCACATAGATGTCGACCGCCCATTGCTGAAACACTCGGCCCAGACATCTCAGTCTGAAGCCCATACTCCCTCTAAAAAACGCAGGGAGGGCAAGGACGATCATGCATAAAAAGCATAAGAAAACTCCCCCTACACAATCTCTGCTGACCACTTGGCGGGTCTCGGAACCGAACCCTACGGGGGCTGCTTCCCTTGACTTTTCAAGCTGAAAGCAGCCACAAGGTGTACCTCAGTTGCCTTCACTGCATCCTATCCAGCTCACTGACTCTGAGCACGATATGGACTCGACACAGATCTCCCGGTCTTCCAGTGTTGAAAGTCTGCACTGAGACCGTGGAGCCGATGCATTTGTCTGTCCTTCACAGCTCTGACCTGATGATCAAGACCGACCATCGGCACCGATCCACCCGCCACCACTGCCCTCCTGGGCCCAACGGAAGTGGCAATACATGTATGGGGCCTATCCATTTACAGGCAATATGCCATGGTTCCCACCCCAACCAATGGAGTGGGACCGTCAGTCCACCTCTTCACGTTTCACCTGGTATTGAGATCCACCATCGACACTGGAGTTTGTGAGGCCCCAACTGTCGAGGTTGATGGGCAATCCTTCCAAGCCGTCGCACCTGGCAGTTACAAAGTTCAAAGAACCATCGAATCTGATTCCATCGATACCGATGTTACCTATGTCTTTTCCCGAGCCGTCCGAGCACTCCGCCTCTTCAGACGCTTCCTCCCAATCAGGGGACGAACCCCCCAAAACTCCGGTGGAACCCTTGCCACCTCAACAAGTGGACAATGATCTCCCAATCTCCCATTCGGAAGACTTAAAATCCTACGGAGATTTCATCAAACTAACACACTCAGTCTGTCTATGGTACAGCCCCCGCCTACTGTGACAGACTCCGTGTTCGATATCGTCCAGATGGACACCTCTACCCCGATTGTCTTACCGATGACTTCAGTCCTCCTGCAGGCGGCTAAAGTCCCATGGTCTCACCCAGCATCTACCACTGTCTTGAGCTGGAGGGCAGATCATATGTATAAGGTGCAGGAGCAGGGTGCTGAATTTCTGTTTACCTACCCTAAACCTAATTCTGTCGTAGTCACTTCTTCCTCCAAGGGCACCCGCAGTCATTCCACCCCCTCTGAGAAAGAAGGAAGGAAACTTGATTCTTTTGGAAGAAAAATTTATTCTGCAGGAGCACTTGGCATCAAGACCTCAAACTATATAGCATGTATGGGGAGATATCAGTTTGCTCTTTGGGAGCAGATGTCTGAATTTATTGCAACCCTCCCTGAGGGCGCTAACCCATCAGGCTTGCAGGATTCAAAAGGAGAGAATGCTTTGGGCCACGCATCAGCTCAGTGCAGCTAAGCACACTTTGGATGCGGCAGCGAAAACGCTGACTTCAGCAGTTACCCTCCCTCATCACGCCTGGTTGCGTTCTACTGCCCTACTGCAGGACACCAGGACTCTCATTGAAGATCTGCCATTCAAAGGTGAGGGCCTTTTCAGTGCCACGACTGATACGGTCCTGCAAGACCTAGACAAAAGTATAAAGACGTCTCAAAATATAGGAGTCACGTCAGCTCCTAAACTATCCAAAGCGAAATCCTGGAGCAAGCCATGGTCTCGCAGATACTCTCTTAAGTCGTCCCCGGAAACACAGTGGCAATGCTCACCCACCGTGTCTTCCCGCCCTTATGGGCACAAACCAAAATTCTCACCTGTCTCTCAGCCTAAGGCTAAGACCCGAAAGCTTCCAAGGGATGCTGAAATTACCATGTTGGATAAAACTCACAAAATTATTTTTTCTTTCTTTTATTTACGAAAGAGAAACACATAATGAAGGGTTGGGTTGGTTTTTTTTGCCAACTTGTAGCAAGTTCAAAGAAATCCAAGGTTTTTAAAATTATTACTATGACTTTAGGGTCTGTTTGCACGCTGGGTTAGTAAAGTACTTGTTGTTGTTGTTCAGGCAAGAATTTTAATTTCACACTGACTCAATTCTAATATGAAGGCCACACCAATGCCATTAGGAATTTCTGTGCTACCATGGTCCTACTTTCCTATGTGCATATTGGTTCCTTCCTTCACTTCTTGGTTCACTGGTAATGATAGTTGCCATTAAATAACTAGTAGGCTGGAGTTAGCATTAAATGCAGTTTCCCTGCTGACCTGAATAGGAAACTATAATCTGAAATTGATTTCTAATTCAGACTTTGAGGCAGGTTGGTTGATGGTAACCACAAATTGCCCATTGTATGCATCACAGCAAGCTATGGTTGCCACAAATCAAGAAGTGGAGGAAGCCACTATTCTGTGCAAGAAGTTGGAGTGCATGATCTTGCAGCTCATTTCCAAGAGCCAAGCTAAGGCATGGCCATGATGTCTAAAATGAGCTGCTGTCTCTTGAAATGGTAACGGTAAGCATTCCTGTGCAATGTAGCAGAAGTAATATGATTACTGATCTGAAAGTGAAGAGACCTCTACTATTAAATTGTCTTGGTTCTAGAAACTCTATAAGACCCTGAGTGAAGTAAAGCTCGAAGTAGAGACTGTGATTAAAACAGGAAGGCAAATTGTACAAAAGCAGCAAACGGACAACCCAAAAAGTATGGATGAACAACTTACAGCACTGAAATTTCTTTATAATGATCTAGGCGCACAGGTAAGAGTTTTTGTTTCATTGCATATAACAAATTCCACCAGTTGTCTGAACTCATGGTATAGCAGATTGCTGTATCCTCTTGAATGGTGATAATTTGTTAAGCCATATTGGAAGGGTAAGCAATGGAAGCAGTGGAAGATTTATTATGAAATGTTTAAATTTTTATTGTGAAATGTTTTCACTCCTGTTGTCATATGCTCTGAGCCCGCTTGTGGGGAGGGTGGAATACAAGCCAAAATTCATAAATAAAAATATATAAATAAATGTAGGTGTTCGGCATGCCTTTCACTTTTCCTAAGGGTTCTAGGAGTCATTCTTTGAGGCCTCATGCTCAACTCTACCAGTTTTTGAACTGTGTCCTGATAATGTCATACATGTGTGGTAGCAACAATCTTCTACTCCAAAAGAAGCTAAATGATTATTGCTTCAGAAGTTGGTTATGGTTTATCTGGTAGGCTGGAAGCTGCAGAAGCACCAAGAGTAGAAAGGAGAGCAGTTAGGACTGTCCCTATTGTTTCATTGCTTTTTTCTTCCATTAGTTTTGTAGTAGCACTCCTTATCTTCAGAAATCATTGATTTTATTTTCTGGCTTCTTCATACAGGTTACGGAAGGAAAGCAAGATCTGGAACAGGCATTGCAGCTGGCACGAAAACTCAAGGAAGAGTCTTTTTCCTTGTCAAAATGGCTAGAAGCTACTGAAGCTGAGTTAGTGCACAAGTCCACCACACAGAGTTTGATTGCTGACCTAGACACTGAAATTGCATGGGCTAAAGTAAGAACAACTACCCTTTGTTCCCAGAGACTGCCATCACCCTCCTGTATACCATAATTTCTTTCTCTGTAGGCCAAAAATATTCTCATTGTATCAGATTTGAAAACTGCGCAGGAGATTTAGTAGACTGCCCTCATCCCTGCACTCCTGTCCTGACCTGTAGGATGAAGCCCTTAAAGCTTCGCTGGGGTCAGGAATTGTTTGGAAGTGTGAAGCTTTTGGTAGACTTTTAATGCTCTGAGGTTTTAGTGTATGTTATGCTTTCAGTCTAATGTTTTTGTGGAAATGTCATTTGTAAATTGCAGCTTACCCTGCATCCTTAAATATCTATTAAATAAATAGAACATGAATGTGGCAGATGCTAAAATTGTCTAATCAAGGATAACCGCCAACAGAATCCTCTCTTTTGGAGTCAGTTGTTGATCAACTCCCTGTGGCTTTGTCCCTTAAAACCCATCCATAAAACCTCCCCAGCATGAATACAAAAATCCTTTTTAGAAAATCACTGCTAAAGGGCTGCTAGAATCCCTGCAAGTAATTTGGCTGGTGGTTTCTTCTCTTTAGCTGTGGTATAGGATACCAGAAAACACATTCAGGGGCTATTGCATATCAGAAGAGTCATTCAGGAGCCATCCATAGCACTTATTTATGCTCTCGGTCGTGGCTAGTTTTCATTAAGAGGAGAATGTAACTTTTGAAAAAGGGTTTTAGAACAACTTTTAATCATTTCATTAGTGTGCAGATGGCAGTCAACTGTGTAAAAGCATTTATGTTTTGATGGCTGTAGCTGGTAGTTTAGAATCTTTGGCATTTGTCTCCCACAGTCTTCTGTTCCAAAAGCATTACACGTGGCACATGGGTATCAAGACTGCATTGTTTTATCCTCTGTACAATCAAATTTCTAACATCACAGAGAAATTTTCAAGCGTTTTGTTGTCTGTGGATAGAATTACTTTATTTGTAGGGGGATTAAGTATTCAATCTGTAGCCACTTTATAATATTGACAACAGAGTAGTTAAACCATCTTGAAATTAATTAAACTCCACTGTAGCACAACTGCAAGTGCACCTGATATAATTTGAGCAGTTAATATTTGCATTATTTTGCATGAAGAACCTTATCGATAATAATTTCATCTGTTTTATTTAACAATATAAAGATATTAATGTATATAAAGACAACAAATCAGCCAACTATACCAAATGGTAGATTTTCCCCATTAATCTTTATAGCACATTGCATCCCTACTCTTCCATTACTCCTTTTTTTCAAAAGCTGACTTGGTTAGTTTAGTACCTTGAAATGTCTTTTTTAATCTTATTTTGGAAGACATTTTAAAAACATTTTGCCTTCACAAACTGTTGAATTACAGTAGGCAAAAGTACAAGGACATTGGATTCAGTGCTAAGCAGAGTGCTTCGTTTCCTATGAATGTAATACTACTGTTTTTAATGTAATTGCTTGTTCTAATTATTGATTGCTATTTTAGAAAACAGTATGGTGAGTCAATTATTTGCCTAGTTGAGTGCAAAATGTCTACAAGAAGTACTATTGTGCATTGGGTACTGGTGTTAAAAATATAACAGTATACCTTAATAAAGAAATAGCACAGTCAGAATGTGTACATTCTCTTACACAGTAAGGGTATTTATCAGTAGTCCCATAGGCTATCTATACTTGGTCCAACATTGTAGGAATATTCTTGCGAGTTAGCCACATAAAGTGTAATTCAAAGGATTTGTGTACAGAACAAGGACATGGATGTACAGAACGACTTTTGAGTCCTTGACATACCGGAGTGCATTTTGCAAGGAGGCAAATCTATAAGATTTCTTACATTAGAAGTGGCTATATAGGATTGTTGTCTGAAGATTAAGTTTGCTAGAGTTTATACAATACTTCAGTAATGTTAAGCATTTGACTATGTGATGTATTACAGTAGCCTCTGAGCCTATATCCCACAATAATTTAAGGTGGGAAAGAGACGCTCTGCTGTAGCAGTCACTGATTTAAGTACCCACCATACAATAAAACTGTGTGTTATAGAAGAAACAACCGTGAAACATTTGTTTCAATGCAGGATAAGTGACACGCATAAGTGGAGCTTGAATTGGTCCATAGCAGATGGATAGTTTAAGTATAACTTCCCCTGTGAAAAGCTGGAAACTTTATATGACTGTTGTCTAGTGCCTATATAATAAAATAAATTATAACATCTGATTAACATTTGATGGAGGGAATTTGAAGTACACAATTTTTATAACTGAGTTTATCTTCAGTAGATATATAGACTTGTTTGTTCACAGAAATGTACAACAGTGACTGTCAGGATCCAGTTCCCTTTTTATTGAAGTAGACCAGAGTTAGCGTTGAAGTTTTTTTAGAATATTCTGCATTATGTATGTTGTTGACAAGGTACTATTAAATATTTGAATCTCCAGTGGTTGGGGTTAGTTGCAGCAACTATTTAATACTATATGAAACTGGCCAAGGAGCATCTTCACAGGATGGGAATGCTTTTAATGTCCTGCTTGTAATCCTGAGGCATTTGGTGAAGCAATGTTCCTGTCCCTTTTAGAACATTCTACGAGAACTGGAAAGAAGGAAAGCTGATCTAAACAGTATAACAGAGAGTAGTGCTGTACTTCAGACTCTGGTAGAAGGTAGTGAGATGATTTTGGAGGAGAAGCTCTGTATTCTTAATGCTGGCTGGAGTAGAGTTCGGACCTGGACAGATGACTGGTGCAACAGACTTTTGGTAAGTGGTATATACAAGTGGTATATTAAGATACTTGCTGTATTTAAATTGCCTTTCATTAATAAAGTTATGTTTCCTTTATTAAAGCATCCAAAGCCTATTAATAGAGTAAGATGTACTTGATAGTCCTTCTGCTTTATGGAGTGGCATAAGTACCCTGTTGGATTAGACCAATGGATCACCTAGGCCAGCATCCTGTTTTCCACAGTGGCCATCCAGATAACCTGTAACAGGAACACAGAAGCCATTGCCGTTCCCTGTGGCTGTTTCTGAATGTTGAAGTCCTATCAACCATCATCTATAGCCATCGATGGACATCCATGAATTTGTCTAATCCACTTTTAAATATATCTGTTGTAGCAGCTGTCATCTCATCTTGTGATAGCAGGTTCCCCAAATGAATTCTGAATTCCCTTTTTATTTTATTTATTCCTTTGCAAGGAAGTAGGTTTTGAAAGTGTAGGTATGTCTGTCATGAGACAGGTTAAGTACTTCTTTCTCAATTTGCTCAATGGGTACAGAATTTAAATTGCGTAGTTGCTAGTAAGTGATGTGGCAATATGAATATGAAAGGTTGAAACTTGGCCGGGAGAAAGTGTGTGTGTGTGTGTGGGGGATTGCCTGGGGAAAAAAAGTTTCAGTTTAATTTATGGTCATTAAAATATGTAATGTATGTAAAAGCTGAATTGCCAGCCATTTCAACCTAACAGTGGCGTGGGTGCATCTGTCAGTTGAACCTAACAGCACACTCATCAGTTGAACCTAACAGCGGGGCGGGTCTGCCTGTCAGCTGTTAAGCTGGAACAGCTGGCATCCATTTCACTGGTCCCTTTCGCTTCTCCCTACTTGGAAGCAGGGCAGAGTGAAACCAACCAGTGAAATGGCTCACAGCCATTTAAACCTAATGGGTCAGCTGCGAACCCATGCCATTCAGCTGTCAGGTTTAAATGGCCTAAACAGCTGAACCAGACATAAGTCCGGCAAATTTCAAGGAAGGTGCCTTCCTCAAACATTGGTTCTGGGGCTCCAAACTGGCCCAAGTTTGTGCCGGATTTTAGCTTGTGATCCGGTTCATGCCTATCCCTACATGCTAGTAGGGGTCCCCATAGCATTATGCCTTAAGTCTTGAAAGTGCCAGCTGATGCATCCCTCTTCAGTTGGGGAGCTCATTGCTAACATCACGATGTCATAAAAGACTCTACATATTTATTTATTTATAATACATAAGCCCACCTTTGTCTCATGCCACTGGGACCGGAGGTAGGTAACAAAATGAAACCCTTTAAAACAACAATACAAGAACATCAAACAAAACAACCTACAGTCCTAATAAATGCTACTCATGTACAGTGAGATATCTGAAAATTCCTAACCAAGTGTAGCATCCTCACGTGGCTTTAAAACCCCTTTAAAAGTTTAGACTTGCTGCCTTTACAGTGCTTCCTGCGGAGTTAAAATTGTTAATTTGCTTCTTTTTTCATACCCTTGAAGTGTCAAAGCCATTGCTGTACCGTATTGGCTTGAGAATGAATGATTTAATGGGGAGAAAAGGAGGACTTTTGAGAATGATCTCTCCAAAAGATGATAAACCATATTCTATCTGTCTGTATCACTGAAATCATTATTCATAATAAATTGCTTTCTGCCAGTCTTATGAGAACTTAATGGCCAGCATCCTTTGACTTTATCCAGTAGAACTGACATCAAGAGTTCTGGAGAACAGCTTTAGACTCTCTTAATAACATCATATTTTTAGCATATCATCTAATTTACAGACTTTTGCCCTCTCCCATTTTGAAATGGGAATGTAAATGATACCCACATATTTTATATGCTCATGAAAGAAGAGATCTGCTAGAGAAAAGGTAACATATTTTCCTGTATCAAAGGCATGGAAGCAGGAGAGAATTTTTTTTAAGAAGGTGCTGATGAAATTTAAGGCTTTTGGTATTTGAATCTAAATTGGTCTTCAGTATTTATTTAGCTTGTTCAGTGGTCTTGGCACTGGCAGTTTTGAACAGCTTTATTCTTCGGTGGTCCTGGGAGTGGGGCAGATCTTGGGAATAGGCTCCTCCTCTGGAACAGGGTCAGTTTTCTCAGATCAATCCAGGAAGGGGAGGGGCCTGTCCCCTGGGAACATCCCAGTTTCACTGCCTTTTTATGCCCTTGCTGCTTGAGCAGGACGTGTTTCACAGGCACTTTGTAGAGTGCAGCAATCCAGAAAGGAGAAGAGGAGAGGAAGAAGGGAGAGACCATCCCTCTTCATTATTTTGAGCTGCGCTCAGTGGCAGATTGCAAAGGAAGCTGATGGCACTGGGAGATCACCAGCAGTGAAGGCTGTGTACGCAGACTCCTACTGGGCCCAGCCTGTGGCTGGAGGTCCCCTCCCCAACCAACGCACATCAGGGGAAGCAGTTGAGCCTGCAAGGAGATCGGGGCAACACTGCAGACCTAGCAATCTTCCTGGTCTCGGAGGACCTGGCGTGTGGAGGAACAGACAAGCTGGGAACCTCTAGCCCTCGCCAGAATCATGGTAAGCCCTAACAGGGCAAAAACCTAGACCGGAGGCGAAGGGTGGTAGACTGGGGAGTTACCGCAAGCAAATCCCTGAGCTATTCAGGGAGGAAGAAGGGGAAATTGATTTCTGGGACTTCCAACCTCCCCAACCTGGGGCAGGCTGAAGCAGATGAAAGAGCCCTTCCCCCCCACTCCTTTCCTTCTTCACTGGGAAAGTTTCCATGGAACAGACAGGGAGCTAAAAGGCCCAGGGAAGGCCATAGAAGGGCAGGGAAAATGATGGTGGCCATTTTGATTCCCTGGACCCTCATGGCAGGCTTACTTTCACTTTCACTCTCAGGCAAGTGAATAGAAAATAACTGCCAGTCAGACCTGCCAATTCACTGTGCCCTGTCCTGGATAGCCCAAGCTAGTTTGATCTGTTGAGATCTCAGAAGCTAAGCAGAGTCAGCCCTGGTTAGTACTTGGATGGGAGACCACCAAGGAAGTCCAGGATCTGTATACTGAGGCAGGCAAGGGCAGCAGTCCTGGCCTGGATGGCCCCGGCTAGCCCGGTTTGATAAGATCTTGGAAGTTAAGCAGGGTCAGCCCTGGTTGGCTCTTTACCTCTGGCTGTCTCTTGCCTTGAAAACCATACAGGGCTGCTGCTTGATAGCACTTCCACCACCATCACTGTTTGCCAGAGAGAGGCGATAACAGATTGTGTGTGTGTGTGTGGGGGTACACTTAGCAAGTCAGATCTATTCAAATCATAAGTCTCACAGTCCCCATAAGACTCTATGGAGAACCAGGAAACAGAGTCAGCAAAGATAGCCCAGGATAACCTGAGCTCATCAAATAAGCATGGTCAGCCCTGGTCAGTATTTGGATGGGAGACCACCAAACAATACCAGAGGTGTGACACAGAGGGAGGCAAGGCCAACCATCTCTGAATATCTCCTGTTTTGAAAACCCCAAGGGGTCACCATAAGTGGGCTGTGACTTGATGGCTACAAAAAGCCCAGGAAGGACTCAGACTCCCCAGTTCCATCCTCAGATAGGGTAGAATGGAAATGGTCAGAGGAAGGAGTGGAAGTAGTACCAACAGTACAGTCCTGGCTATTCCCTCAAGAGCTGTACATGAGATTACTTTCCAAGTACTTAGAATTTCCTTCCAACCTAAGGAAAAGGATGATCTTGACCCAGAACTTCCAGTGGAATCTGGCCAGATGATGTACAAACTGGCAGTACCACAAGGAGGAATGCCAGCCCTAACCTGGATGGCCCAGGCTCGACCACGCTTGTCAGATCTCAGAAGTTAAGCAGGGTCAGTCCCGGTTAGTACTTGGATGGGAGACAACCAAGGAAATCCAAGGCTGCTACTCTGAGGCAGGCAACGGCAAGCCTCCTCTGTTCCTCTAACTGCCCACAGCCTTTTATAGTACGATCAAGGCAAAGTGGGAACAACCTTCCAAGCTAAAAACTAACCATCAGATGTTTTTTCCAAGCTTTATTCCCTGATACCAGAGGTTACCAAGAGACTGAAGGTGCCAATGGTGGACGTACCCAGGACTAGCAACCTCCAACTACCTATGGATGCACATAGGCTGCCCAAGATCCCAGCGATAGGGGATTTGAGCAAGGCTTATGCAAAGACTTCGAAGTCTCAGCTTGCTCCATCTGTATGTCAGCAGCAGGCTCGGTGTTAGCCAGGGCAGCACATTCTTGGGCATCAGGACTAGCTTCAGCTGATAGTGGAATCCCAAAAGAAATTAAAGACAAACTTAAGGAGAGTGCCCTAGTGACGGTGATTGTGGCAGATACTTCACAGGACATCCTGCAGCAGTTAGCTAGAGCCATGGCATGCAGTGCAGCAGCCAGAAGGAACATGTAGCTCAGAATTGGGATGGGGACTCAGCGGCACAGGCTAAAGTGATGGCAGTTCCCTTCAAGGGCATAAACCTTTTGGAGATGGACAGATATCTTATTGAAGATAAAGACCTGTTCTACGTTAAAAAACAAAACAAAAAACACTTGTCAGTCCTGTCGTGACTCCAAAAGGATATCATGCTCAGAGCCAAAGAAGAATAGGGATGCCAGGAAAATCTTGGACCTGAAATGGCTAAACAACTGCATCAGGACTAGAACGTGTTCTGGATGAAAACTCTGAACTCCATTCTGGCAGGTGTTCAAGCAAAGGATTTCCTGGCATCCATCGATCTATAGGAGACTATTTACATGTCCCAATTTGAGAGGCTCACTACAGGTTCCTATGCTTTGCGTATGATGGGAAACACTTTCAGTACCAGCGCTGTCTTTCGGTTTGAATTCATTCCCTAGGGGGTTCACCAAGATCATGGTGGCCATCGTAACACAACTGAGACTTCAGGGAGTGTCACTGTCACCATCTCTAGATGACATTATTGTCAAGGCCCCTTCTTACCAGCAGAGCGGGGAAGCATCAGAGATGGCAGTGATTTTTTTTTTTTGAGGGACCATGCCTT